TCTTGTGAAGTAAAGCGATGTGGATATCAATTTAGTGTTTAGAATGTTAATCAACCCCTCTAGACCGCTTATAACCACATTTGTGTATTTGACGCATCTGCGGCCTACCTAATTTGACCTTACTGTTTACTTGGAGTTTTTACTTTGCGGAATGGATTTAATTGAATTAACATGTCAGAAAATCATATCAGGAAAAACCTAGAAAATTGTGTTATTTCAAGGCTCCGAAAAGGGCAATTATTGGTGAAGTTCCATTCTGTCTTTTAACGTTTTCACTTTAATGATTTTTAACCAACTAAAACGCGTCGTCCTTAGCTAACAGTACGACCATTTTGTAGAGCACATTCCACTCTTCTCCCGAAAATCAAGTTGAAGAGTTTTGTAGCAACCGATAAGAACATTTTAAAATCCTTCAAGTTTCAAATATTAATTAAGAATGAAATTTTGATAGAAAAGTTGAGTTCTTTCGGATCTTGTTGCGAAACGAGATTTTTTCTTAAAAATTATATGCAATGATAAATATGTGTTATCATCCATGGTTTTAATGATTTTATTTGCGAAGCAATTTTCCGCTTTTCTTTAAACACATTTGAAGTATGTTTCAGTGGTACCACTGGGGACCCAAAAGGTGTGCTACTTACACACAAGAATTATATTGCCATGACTAACATTTTCAGAGGGTGAGTTTGCCCTTTTATTATTAACCATCTTTGAGAGAGGGATAAAGAAGAGCCAATCACAAGAGTTTATCAGCCTTTTTTGCGGAATAGCATGATTAAAAATCGATAATTCCAAAATATTCACTCTTTAAATATGGTTCAAGCTATTTCAAAAAGGAAGGTGCAATAGCGTTCCATATTAGAGAGTGGGATGTCTTTATTTCTAAAAATACTCATAGATCAACAAAAAAAACTTATATTCGCGATTTCTTAGGTAACAAATGCTCCAGGGTATATTTCAGCCATGACGTTGTTCGTATGACTGGCGCAATGGATCCTCCGTATGACATTGACAACGAAAAGCAAATGCTTTTAATCCCATTTTACCATTGCTATGGATTCTGTAGGGTTTGATTATTCTCGATCAAAAGGGGCAACAGATACTTCGTATTGTGATTGAAGGCATGATGATGATTGCAATCTTAAATGGGGCTACATCGGTCATGCTCCCACACTTCAAACCGGATCTATTCTGTTCAGCCATTCAAACACATCAAGTAAGTTCTTACTTACACTAAGGAGTTCAAAAGTGAAGAAAATCCTCTATTCCAGAATTTTTTCAGATACGTTGGCTAGCCATAGCTCCGCCCATAGTCACATTTCTTGCTAGAAACCCAATCTGTGAGAATTATGATCTTTCGTGCCTTCAGACGCTTTTCAGTGGATCAGCACCTGCTCCTAAACATATCTGCTACGAAGTGCTTCAGAGGTACAAGAATATCAAATATGTGCAACAAGGTCAGTGATTTCGCAGCGTATAGAAAACAATGGGATGCTCAAAGCTCATACAGCACATGAAACTATATTTTGCAGGATATGGTATGTCTGAGACGTGCATGGTATCACACTTACCTGATATTCGTGATGGACAACCACCTGGAAGCGTTGGGAAAATTGCACCGAACTTGGAAATGAAGGTTTTCACTTTTTTCACACATCCAAGTAAATTTTTGTATAGTACGGTTTCAAATTGTGGACCCAAAGAGTGGTGATGTGAAAAAGCGTGGTGAAATGGGAGAAGTCTGC